CGAATCACTGTCGCCCAGACATCAGCGGTTATATTTTTTATATTTATATTTTTTTTTACAAAGTGGAGTGTGTATGACGTCATCCGCAATTCTGCTAATGCCTTGTTAGGTTTACCCCTATCAATGGCAGAAATCAAGGAAGAGCAGGAAAGGCACTCAGGCTTTATGGAGATGGTTCAGGATCCAAGATACCAGAGGCCTGACAGGATCCTCTTTCACAAAGTCCACGATCTCTGGTATAGGAAAACCCCACTAAAAGATGGCATGAAATATCAGTTGGTGGTTCCCAAGTCTTTGGTTCTTCAATTTCTCCAGTATTTCCATCATCGACAATATTTATGGACACCTGGGGGTAGATCAGGTTGCGCATGCGCCATTGAGCTGATGGTAATATTCGCTCTTTCGGGATGGATCGAGTGGTGACACATGGTAGCATCCGTTTTTTGAGTTCTCTAACCCTTTTGTTTTAGCTGAGCCCACCCCAGAACAGGACCTGCTGGGCCTTCTGACCTAGCCCATTATGTCCCAGTTTTGCCACAACTCTAGTCCGGCACTCGGATGACGTCATACACACTCCGCTTTGTTTTAAAAAAATATATAAATATAAAAAATATAACCGCGGATCCAGCTCCAAATGACAAAAAACTAATATGGGTGAGTAGAACATGATGTGTTCCCCTTTAAGTTAGACAGGTTAAATGTATTTATAAGGGACTTACTCATAGGAGCTACAGCTTTAAAAATACAGGTTTATAATAGGATTTTATTTTGTGTTTATTTTGTTTCCTCACTAAATTGCTGACAACATATTTATGTTGTTTTTTATTTGAGATGAAAAGCATGAAATCCCTAAGAATTAAATGCTCAAAGTAAAAGATCAAGTTAGTTTTTTTATTATTATTTTATAATAATAAAAAAATAATAATCAGTGCTTTAGATTTAATCAGTGCTTTAGCTTTAATCTGCACTATCTGAACCTCTTTCTTATTAATCCCAGTTTTCAACATTTAATTTGTACAGAGGGATCTTACACGTCCTAATTTCAACTTTATCTTTCCATTACTAATACCGAAAAATATATACATTTTACTATTTTTAATTATTTGAACATAACACATGCACCTGAACATAACGAGTAAGTATCCTGCGATTCAAGCACTGAAGATCAGCAAAATCCAGAAAAGCAGAAGTGGGGTAAATCTGTTGGGACTGGAAGCACCACCTGACATGAAACAAGAAGAAAGACACAAAAAACAGAAAGTTGTTCTTTAGACTGGAAAACAGATATGTTGATATGTGCAGAACTGAGTTGAGTTCTATGTTTTCAATCTGGGATGGCTGCCGTTCAGGCTGTCCACGAAAAGGAGGGAAGTTTAGTACAACACTTCGAGCTGATTGGGTGATGGCCAGCTAGTTCCCGCCTTCCATAATTTGCTCTCAACCAATCGTAGCAGTGTGATTCATCTGCAGCTTTTTGAGTGTTTTCACAAGTAGCAGAGTAAGCTGATAAATCAAATTTTTTCCAAATCCTGTCGGAAGAAAAGCAAAGACATCGTTCTCATCTACAAATGCACAAAATGCTTCTCTTTGCTCTTTTTTTTAAAACGAGGAATGCTACAGAGTCAATTGCGGTATCGACAGGTAAGTCATCCAGCGTAGCCATGTTTGCAATGCCTCGGCGAGGCACTTCTGACTGTCGTCTTTCCTACAAAACCACTGCTGGTATGTGATTGGTCGGACCTGCTGGTTGTTACGAGACAAACATATTAGCCGGAGTCCTTCAAGATGGATTTGTTGTGAGACTGAAAACTCAAATCTCACGACAATCCAGCTTACAGCGCAAGGTTAGGAAAACAGTGCAAAAACAATATAAATGAACTGAATGACAACAGAAAAAACAAAGCAGCTCTGATAAAAAAATCCAATCATAAAACATTCACAAGCCTTAGTCA